GAGACTAGAGATGACATTTAAGACCAGATTCAGACTTTAAATTAAAGACTAGAACAAAGACTAGAAACTAGAATAGAGACTAAAGACACCTTCTAAGACTAGAACAAAGACTAGAAACTAGAACAGAGACTAGACGACTACGTTCAGGACTACAGACTAGATCCTAGTCAGACTAAAGGACTTTGTAAAACTCTCTGGTGTCTTCAGACAGCAGCACGTTTCGTTTTCCTGGCGGTTAAACGGTTTTTGTTTCGTGTTAAACTCTTTATCTTCTGCTCTATGAGGTGATATTTAAATAAACGGAGTTATGACGACGCTGGAGAGGACTCGAGTGTTTTAATCTGCTTCCCTGCAGTGACCACAGCTTTGGACTTCTTGAATTTTTAATCCGCCTCCTAAATCCAAAGCGGGCTGATTCCACCTGCTCCGCTCCAACACGTCCTCCACCTCGGACAAACTTCTTCCACCTGTTCCCGCCGCCGCCTCCATTAGAAGTTTTAAGCTGAAAAGCCAACAAATCCTCTCCGGCCTTGTTAAATATTCATGCATGAACGGCAGACTGAGGAAAAACACAGCAGCACAAACTCTTTTGTTCATTGTCACACGAAGGACGAAGCAAAGCTGCAGACGAGCAGAAAACATCGGACCCGGCAGCACCAAGGTTCTCTGAAGAACATTTTAAAGCCTCTTTGCACGTAGACGGTAACAACGTGGAGGAAACCAGCTCTGCACAGCTAGAACCAACATCTAGAACCTGTGAGCAGCAGGTTCTGGTTCCTACCAATGACCCACATCAACAGTTAGTCTGAACATCTAAAAACTGGAACGAAAACGAGACACAAAGCAAAAGAAAGACGAATAAACAGACATCAAACGCACAAACAGGACACAAAACAACCCAAAAAAGTCACAAAACGTCCAAAAAAAAGATGCAAAACAACAAAAAGGATCCTTAAGATTAAAGAAAGGCGACAAACACGTCCAAGGAGACGTCAAACAAAACCCAAAATGTCAAAAACAAAACACGAAACGTAGAAAACAAGGCAAGAAAAAAAGACATAAAACAACAAAAGGGAGACACAAAGCAAAAGACAAACAGACATCAAACGCACAAACGAGACGCACAAAGTCAAAAAGGAGACACGAAACAACAGGAAAGAGTCACAAGATTATAGAAAGGCGACAAAAACGTCCAGAGGCGTCAAACACAATCCAAAATGTCAAAAAGAAAACACGAAACGTAGAAAACAAGACAAAAAAGTACTAAAGTGAAACACAAAATGTTGAATACAAGACATAAAACAACAAAAAGTCACAAAAAAAGATGCAAAACAACAAAAAGGAGACACAAGATTAAAGAAAACATCCAAACAGACGTCAAACAAGACTTAAAATGTCTAAAAAAAAGACTTAAAATGTCTAAAAAAAGACTTAAAATGTCTTAAAAAAAGACTTAAAATGTCTAAAACAGGCTCAAAACAACAAAGAGACACAAAACAACCACAAAAGACATAAAACTACATAAATGAGACACAAAACAAAAATTAGACACAAAATAAAAAGAAGAAAAACGGTCCCTGAAAGACACTGAACCTCCAACGTCTGAACATTTCACAGACTTCCTGTTTCCAGGACAGATGTTTACGTTTAGACCATCTCCAGGGGTTCTGACCATTTTTTCTGTTTTGGATCAACTTTGAGTCCTTCTGGACAAACTTTAAACACATTTCAGGTACATTTAAACATTTTTGAGTCTTTTTGAACTGATTTCAAGTGAAAACATGTAAAACCAGAACCTGGTCTGGTCCAGCTTCACCACATCAGGTTCTACTGATGTTAGAGCCTCAGCAGGTGGTGAGACTGGGTTCTAGTAGAACTACAGATCCATCCATAGACAGACCTGACAGGAGCTTTCTGGATCAGTACCAGCCTGGTTGGAACATGTTGCACTTCTGCACATTATCAAAGGTCAATATAATGAAAATGTGCCATTTTCATGGTTCAGTATCTCCAGAAATAAAACTCCAACAGCCATGAAATGTTCTGAGAACTCAGACAGAACAGGTCCCATTGGATCAGAACGATTGAATGGATCCAGCAGAGGACACGGTTTTAATTATTGGACCTTGAAAATGGAATCAGTGGAGGTGTTGGTGCCATAAAGTTCCTGTCAGTGTCCACCTATGGATGGATCCATGTTTCACCAGCTGCTGAGGCTCTAACATCAGCAGAACCTGACGTGGGGAAGCTGGACCAGACCAGGTTCTGGTTTTATACAATTTTACACGTCAAAATGCCAACATGAGTCCATTTGGACCATTTTTAGGTAACTCTGGACAAGTTTTGAATCATTTTAAACACATCTTTTAAAACATTTAGACTGATTTTGATTCATTCAGTTGAACTTGAACCACATCGGAGTCCTTTTGGGGCGTTTCTGAGCTGCTTCAGACACATTTTGAATCATTGTGGAGATTTATTTTGCAATGTGAGACAAGTTTGGAGTTACGAAACCAGGCTGGTGCTGATCCAGAAAGTTCCTGTCAGTGTCTATCTATGGATGGATCCATGGTTCTACTAGAACCCAGTCTCACCACCTGCTGAGGCTCTAACATCAGCAGAACCTGATGCAGTGAAGCTGGACCAGACAAGGTTCTGGTTTCTGGGGGGACATCGATTTAACATTTTGCACTTTTTTTTCCATTTTCAAAAACCAGTAATTGTAAATATGCGCTCAGCTGGATCCGTTAAATCGTTCTGATCCGATGGGACCTGTTCTGTCTGAGTTCTCACCAAGTCTCACGGCTGCTGGAGTTTTATTTCTGGAGATACTGAACCATGAAAATGGCTTCAACGTCCAACGTTATTGAGTAAACCTGCCGCTCAGGTGCTGCAGCTTCACGTTCCTGCAGAGAACCAGCAGATAGAAGAAGGTTTCTTCATCACTGGATCTGTATCAGTGAAGAAGCAACAAGACGACACTTTAATCATTTAACTCGTCCGTCTCTGAATGTTTGTCAGATGAACAAACCGTCACGACCGTCCATGTGCGACAGGAAGGCGCTGATCTGAGCGCTAGCCTTCGGTGAGCAACACCACCGTGAGCGTGTGCAGCTGCAGGAGTCGTAATGAAGTTATAAATACAATCTGCTGACAGCGGAGCTCGTTGTGCCGAGTTAATGAGCCGCAGCCGACTTTATAACAAGAAGCACGAAGCGACGAGACCCTGAACGCATCGCAGCACAGACACACAGACTCACTGCAGTGTGAAAGCACCACAAGCACTGAGACACCCGAACACAGCAGCAGTAACACAGTCGCACCAGGAACTGAGACACCTGAACGCACCACAGTACTACAATAAACAAACACCCTGCAGCACAAAGACACCCAAACGCACCGCCAACATACTGCAGTACTGAGACACCTGAATGCACCATATAACTGAACGCACCATAGTACAGAGACACACAAACTTACTGCAGCTCTACGACACTTGAACACACCACAAGACTCACAACACAATCTTGAATCCACCGCTTACTGAGACATGCAGAAGTTCTGCGACACCTGAATGCACCACAGCAGTAACACACACAGTCACACCCCAGACCTGAGAAACATCCCACCTCACTGAGACACTTGAACGCACCGTAGCACCAACACACACAAACTAAATCTAAGACTTACGAATGCACCACAGGATGGAGACGCACAGAAGCACTGCAACACCTGAATGCACCACAGCAGTAATATACACAGTCACACGGCAGACCTGAGAAACATCTCACAGTGCTGAGACACTTGAATGCACCATATAACTAATGCACCTGAACGCACCGCAGCCTGAAGTTCTAAGACATTCAAACACAACACAAGAATATGACAAACGAACGTACCCAAGTGCTGAAACACCTGAACGCATCACAAACAAACCGCCCTGCTGAGACACACAGGAGTACTGCGACACCCGAACGCACCACAGCAGTAACACTCACACAGTCCTGCTGCAGAACAGAGAAGCACAAAGTCCTGGGGCACTTGAACGCACCGTACAACTAATGCACTTTAACGCACCGCAGTACTGAGAAGCACAACCTTACTGTACTCACTTCAGAGACACACAAACGCACGGCGGCAGTGCGACACACGAACACACCACGCCGCGTGTCCTTGAAGTAGTCGTGCTGAGTTTAGCAGACGCCTGAGACTTGTTTGTTTCTGAACGTCGCAACTTTGTCTGGCTTAAACGTGTGTGTGTGTGTGTGTGTGTGTGTGTGTTGCAGGGCTTTGCTGCACTACAGAGACATCCTTAGTGGAGGAGAGAACAAAGACAGAGGCTCTTAATGAGCTCTGCCACTGCTGAGACCCAAACTAGGCCGAGTGTGTGTCTGCATGTGTGTGTGTGTGTGTGTGTGTGTGTGTGTGTGTGTGTGTGTGCAGCAGGACCAGCAGTGGGTCAGAACCAGGTGACTGCAGAGCTCCATGTGAAGGCTCCGTTTGTTCTGTTAAATTCCCACAGAAGCAGCTCAGTTTACAGATTAAGATCAGCTTCGTCCACAGGTTTACACAGCGACAGAACCGGATCAGAACCGGATCAGAACCGGTCCAGTCTGACAAAACACACATCAGGGTGAGAACCAGACACTAAACTGGTTGTTTGATGCGACGGTTGAACCATGACGGCGCTGCAACTAATGATTGATATCGATGAGTTGTTTGGTCTCAAACTGTCAGAAAACAGTGAAAAATGTGGATCAGTGGTTCTGAGAACACAGCCGGGTCTCTGGAGGGCTGCTCTGAGTCCTGTTGTGTCTCTTTGTGTGTCGTTGTGTCTTTTTGTGGTCATTTTGTGTCTCGTTGTGTTAATCTGCTGACGCTGGCTGTCAGACTCACACAGCGCCCCCTGCAGGCTCTACTGCACTAGAAAACCCCAACATCAGCAACAACAACAGCCCGCAGCAGCGCCGACGGGTTGTGGTTCTGGTGGTGGTTCTTACCCTCGGTCAGGCCCATGTGGATGCTCCAGTAGTTCTGCAGACACTGCAGCTCCTTCTTCATGGCCCTCTTGCAGCGGCAGTCGTAGAGCGGCGAGTCCTGCAGCACCTCCAGCGCCCCCTGACACTCCCGGGAGGCCAGCATGGCGCTGCGCTCCTTGTCGCCGCCCGACAGGCACTGACGCATGATCCGGTACCGGGAGCTGCACTGGCTGTTCTGGTTGCAGAGTTCTGAGGCTCTGACGCAGTCCAGAGGTTCCCTCCAGCCGGGAGGCCCGAGCTCCGAGTCGCACACGCTCACATCTGCAGGACGACAAGACGACAGCGTTAATAACACTGGACAGTACCAGACAGTACCGGACAGTACCGGACACACAGCAGCAGCTCTGAGGGGACCGCCTGCAGCCGGATCAGAACCGGGTGGTGTCACTCCAACACATGTTTAGAAACTTAGAGACGGTTCTCTCTTTGTACTCGTTTTGTCGTTTTGTCATTTCTAGCGTCTCTTTGTGGGAATTTTTTGTATCTTTGTTTTTGTTTTGTGTCTGTTTGTGCTCATTTTTTGTGTCTTTGTGTTTTGTTTTGTTTCTGTGTGTGTCTGGACGTCTTCAGCATCTTTGCCGCTCTTTGTCTTTTTTTCTCTTTGTGGTCGTGGTTTCACTTTCTGGTTCTATTATTATTGTGCGTTATTTTTGTGCCTTTGTGGCTGTTTTGCGGCTCATTCTTAGTGTTTTGTGTCTCTTTCTGGTCATTTTGCGTCTCTTCATAGTCAATTTTTGTGTTTTTGTGACTGTTCTGTGTCTCTTTGTGGTCATTCTCCATGTTTGTAGTCATGTTTGTGTCTTTGTGGTTGTTTCATATCTCTTTGCGGTCGTTGTGTGTCTCTTTGCGGTGATCCGTTGTGTCTCTGTGGTCACTTTGCCTCTCGTTGTGGCTGCTTTGTGAGTCCCAGCTGCCTCAGACTCCTCCTACACTGTCACACTCCCACTCGGCTGCAGTGTGTGTGAGTGTGTGTGTGTCTGTGTGAGTGTGTGTGCGTCTGTGTGTG